TTGTACTGTTTTGCTCTAAAAGGTTTTTTACTAGAATAAAAGTTTCTGTAGGAGGGATACTAGGAAAAAGATTTTTTACGTCAAATGAAATTAATCTGGAGTTGTTAGGTAATTGAAAATGTTGTATTTTATTAACCAGTTCTATTGTATTTTTTATGGTAAATTTAGGTGAAAATTTAGTGTGGTCTAAAATAATCTCTAACAGTTTTTTTGAAATTTTATATGACGGAGCTGTATAAAAAGAAACTACAGGTCTTATTGGGTGATCCGGTTTGTGTAATTTAATGAAAGAATATAATTTAGGAGGCTGTGGGTTCATGATACTGAGGTATTTCTGGTCTATTGGATTTAGTATTGATTTTGAAGTTTCTAACGCTAGCTTAATTTGTTTTTGATATTTTTCTGTCGGATCTTTGTGTAAAGTTTCAATATTTTGATTATTTAAGAATTCTATTGTTTTGTTATTATATTCTATTTTATCTATAGCAATAGTAGTGTTACCTTTGTCTGCTTTTGTAAACACAATGTTGTTTTCTATTGATTTATTTTTAATTGAAATTGCTGTTTTATTCTCTTTGTAACAGGAATTCTTAGTTTCACTAAACTATTTCAATATAATAAGGCAGTAGAATTGATTTCTATCTAACCAGACGACATATAAATGTTTAAAATCAATTTTAAAACGTTGTAAAGTTTACAAAAAGAGTTCATACAAATATTTCGGAAATAATTTTGAAAAAATCAGAGACAAATATTGAATCTCGATATGAACACAATTGAATGTTTAAAGAGTGCTCAGGAAAAAAAGAGGTTTGGAATGAAATATTTCATTTATAGTATGTTTAACATCTGTTTTTAACAGTTTGGCAAATATATGAATTTTTACGAGGTTCCTACTTTATGTAAACATAATAAATTATAATCATATCACCAGTAATTTAAGTCTAATGCAAAAAAAACAATAAAATGGTGGAAAGTTATCGAAATAACTCATTTAAACTACTCTAACGATTAAATTATCTACAAATATATATCAAATAATGTTAGATAACAAATATTATTCTTATCTTATCAAGATTTTATAGTGTATTATTATATGTATAACACCCAAAATATGTTTTTATCTGAATAATGTACTCGATAATGGTGTACAAGTAACAATCCACTATTTTTACGAAAGATATAAAATTATTTTATACAGCGTAGAAAGTTGAAATACCAACAGAATGAACAGAATGGCTGAGATCTGAGTTTATTGCACTTCCACAAAAACCAGGAGCCAAAAAATGCGAAGATTACCTTACTATAAGCCTCATGAGTCATCTAATAACATTGTTCCTAAAGATAATTCATAAGAGAATCTACAAGCTGTGTGAAAGTCAAATTTCCCCCAATCAGTTCGAGTTTACAAATACTGTTGGTACTAGAGAAGCTTTGTTCTCAGTACAACTCTTATTACAGAGATGCAGAGACGTCAACTGCGACGTATACGCATGTCTGCAGAAGACCTACAAGTTTTTATGAACAAAATCACGTATTACAGTCAACAAAATGGACTCAGTATAAAGGTTAAGAAGACAAAGCTTATAATAATTAGCAAGAATGGGATAACAGAAGGTCAACTCTACGTCAACCAATCTCTTGTAGAAAGAGTGACGCGCTACAACTACCTCGGCACCATAATAAATGAGGAATGGACCAACAACCAGGAGATTAGAGCACGCATTTGAAAAGCTAGATCTACCTTCAATCGGATGGGGGCCTTCTTCAAGAGTTACAACCTCACTTGATACAAAAGTAAGAATGGTGCGATGCTACGTCTTCTCTGTCCTTTTTTATGGTGTTGAATCGTGGACCTTAAACGAAGATATGTCTAGAAAACTAGAAGCATTTGAGATGTGGATATATCGGAGAATTTTTAATATCCTGTGGACTGACCGAGTCACACATGAGTAGGTCCTCAGAAGAATAAATAAGGACCGAGAGGTACTGACCACCATCACATCTCGAAACTTACAGTTCTTCGGACATATTATGCGAAATGAATTCAAATATGCTCTCCTTCAAGCCATCCTGCAAGGAAAAATATTTGGAAAACGAGGTTCAGGAAGAAGAAGAACATCTTGGTTAAAGAACCTCAGAATCTGGTTCAATACAACATCTTTGCAGCTTTTCCACGTTGTTGGAGATAAGATAATGATTGCCATGATGATCGTAAACATTCGTAACGGATAGACACATCAAGAAGAAGAAGGAAGTTAAAGAAGTTTCCTTACAAAATTTAACGTGGTACACGCTTACGAAATTAAGGTTGCAAAAAATTCAAAATAATTGTTGCAGATTTGTCTTTGGCATAAGAAAATATGATCGTGTATAATGCAAAAAAAAAGAACTTCAATGGTTATCAATAGATAGTTTATACAAATATCAGCTCGTCTAATTGATTTAACACTTAAACAAACTTAACAAATTAGTATTTCGTGGAGATGCTCATAATCTGGATCTGAGATATCCTCATAGTCTTATGCTGTCAAGGTATAGACTAGCTATTTTCCAGCGATCGTTTACTTACAATGCTGTTTTAGTGTTTAATAGTTTACCAATAAATTTAAGAGGTAAATCTCTTGATTTCATGAAGCGGCATTATAAGAAATTTTTACTACAATCGCAGTAAAGTTATTATTATTATATAGTATATTGTTGTCGTTATTGTTACCATTTTAGATATTTTTGTTTATCTTTCATATCACATATCACACAACATCACAAATTATTTTTTTTTAATATTTTTTTTATATTATTTTTCTAGTAGCCACATGACTATTTTTTCACTTTTAACTTTTTTTCATTTTCAAATTATTTTAAACTAAATTTTATAAACTTGAGGTTAAGTGGAGTAGCTCTAGCTAGACTTCGCCTCATGTACCTAGTGTTTGCAAAATTTTACAGACTAAATAAAGGCAATTTATTATTATATATATCGAGGATATAGTTCTGTTAAAATGTGGTACTAAATTAGTCAAATAATAACAAAATTTTTAGTTTTGTTAGTTTTCTTTCCGTTAAATTTTTTAGTACTTTTAGATTTAACTTACAACCTTCATATTTCGTCTATAAAAACTATATAATACGACAAAAATGTGTGTTTAATTTAGTTAGGATCGGATTAATAAGTTTGTAATTCAGGACAAATTTTTTTTAAATATACAGAAAGGGATTCTACAGTATTGACTGCCTTCTCTCGCTCAACTGTTTCCATCTCTCTGTTGTCTCATTCTCTATCGTTTAGGCCTCTCTTACTCATGTCGTCGTCTAGTTCGTTCCTCCAGGATCTTTGGGATCGTCCTCTTTTGCTTCTTCATATGGGGCTCCAGTCGGTTATTCTCTTTATCCAACTGCTGTCGCTAGTTCTTCTACATATCCATAGCACTTTAGTCTTTTTTCTTCTATATATGTTAGTATGTCTGTTTATATTGATGTTCTTTGCTTTATTTCGTCATTATTTCTCCAAATTTCAGCTCCATATGTCGTGATCATCATCATCATCATTTTAGCTTTACAACCCTGTGTGGGTGCTAGCCTCCCCAAGAATTCTTTTCCAGTCGTCCATATCCATCGCCTTCCTCCGCCAAGCATGTATTTCCATATTTCTCATATCTTGGTCTATGTTATCTAGGAATCTTGTTCTACTGTTGAATCTGCATACGGTGCCATACGATGGCATAGTATATTGGAGAATATTTTATACGCTGCATTTAGGAACGTAATTCTTCGATAGTTAGAGCATTCAAAGATATCTCCTTTTTTGTGTAGGGTACATCCAATCACTGGGAAAGGACTTCTGTATCCATATTTCTTTTATAAGCTGCTGTAGCGCTATTATGATATCGTGGCCAACTTCTTTTTATAATTCCGCTGGGAGATTATCTATTCCGGGTGATTTGTTTCTGGCTAGTTTGTTTACAGCGTCTTTAACTTCCAGGATCGTTAATGAATTCTCCTCCCTCTCGTCTGCTCCGCTTACCTCACAGCTTTCGTCTTACGGGATTTCTTCTTCTTCCTCTATATTAAGTATCTGGTTAAAATATTCCGTCCATCGAGTTAGAACGTCTGTTCTTGTTGTTAATAGATCGCCATTTAAACTTTTACATTGATTTGTGTTTGCTTTGAATTCTTTTCTGTTGATGTTAACTTTTTCATGTCATCATACTTCGCCCTAATGTTTTATAAATCTGTTTTTGTCGTTATATTCAAGTGTCTATCCCACCATACTGAGTTAAGTTGTCGGATTCCTGTTCTTGTTTGTTCTCGTCTTTGCTTAATTTCTTCCTCTGTTAGTTGTTGCCTCTTTCTTGATTATAAACCCCAAGTATTTGAATTTATCCTTTCCTTTGATTGTTCCATTGTCGTCAATCTGTAAATCTTCTATGTCTTCTTCACTTGTAGATAGGTACTCTGTTTTCGCGAGGTTAATATCTAGGCCAGCCTTTGAATATTCTTCTTGTAGTTTCTTCATCATGCTACTGGAATCTTCTTGGTCTTGTGCAATCACTACTTGATCGTCTGCAAAGCTTAATGTATATAGGTATTCTTTCCAGACCGGCACTCCCATGCCTTCGCATTTTTTTTTCTATGTATTCAAGGCATTCTCTAAGTATATTTTGAATACGGTTGGAGATGTGGAGCAAGCCTGCAGGAACCCTTTTGTTGTGGTGATTCTATGATTCTTGTTCCCATTTTAATGGGCACTTTATTTTTTTTTACACAATTTAAAACGGATCCCGCTTGGATTATGGTAGAAAAGCTGAGAAAGAAGAAATTGGTTTAAAGACGCTTAAAAATCTGTTATAAATACAAATATTGTCTGGATCACGTCAATGCAATCTAATATATCACCAAGAACAACGTGCTGGGTTTTGTGAAAACATGAGGGAGAGCTGCGAATAATTCTGGTCCTGAATAATTGCATTAAGTCTAACATAGATTTTCTTCTTTTTCAGTTTAAATGTTAAAGTAATTTTACTAGTACGCGATCCTCGCGGCACGATGCAGTCCCGCAAACACAGAGACTGGTGCCCGGGCATGCCTGACTGTGATCAACCCTACAATTTGTGCAGGGATTTAGTGTCTGACTATAAGGCAGCTGGTCCGCTTTTGCAGATCTATCCAGATAGATTCAGGTGAGTACATTTGCTAAAATTATTCTAATACATCGTTACTCGGCTGTATCATTTCTATAACGTTTTGAAAACTGTTTGTCTTAGGCCCATATTTATAAACGATGCTCAAGTATCGATCGATACTTGAGATCGACCTTGAATCAAATTTGTGTTCTATAAACCGTTCTCAAGCACGAAGTCGAGCTTGAGTACGCAGAAATGACAGCTCGTACTCAAGCATCGGATCGACCTGCCTTGAGCACGGGATCCTAACCTAACTTGTTTGTTTATATTTATGAATAATTTTAAATACAATATTTTTTTTTGTTTTTTGAGATTAATATTGTTGTTCAACATCCAGGATCAAGTATTGGTAGCTTATTATTTAATCAAAATCGACAAACAACTTTAAATTTCTCTAAATTTGGTATGAAACACATTTTTTAACTCCAAAGAACGCTAAAACAAGTTCGAGCGAATGGTGCTATATCCTCTTAGAGAACAACAAAACGGAATCCCACAAGGATCTACTATTAGTAATGAACGATATAATAAAAATCATTTCGAAACCTGTTCAGGCAAGACATCTGTCAAATATTGTTGTTTGTAAACAGACTTAAGATTTGTGAAATAATGCCGCCAGTAGAAAAGTGGTGGAATATTTGTATAGAAAGGGTGTCCAACACGTTAAAAAATTAGTGCAATTGACTGAACTGGGAAAATGTGCAGTGTATGAGACAATAAAGATAATAAAAATGGCATAGATGTGAAACATAGACCAGTTTCGGGTAGACCGCGTAAGATTATCGAAAGATCTTATCTAAAAGTCCTATCAAGAGAAAATGTTTCCGTTCAAATTTCCAAATTTCCCACTAAAATAATGGTTTGGGGAGCAATATCTCAGCGTGGTGCTACACCTCTCTGTATATTTAATGGTACTATTGATAGTGCAAAATATTGTGACATGCTAAATGGTTTTATTCTTAAAACGGCTCATGGCCAGCAGCATCTCCAGATCTTAGCCCTATTGAAAACATAAGGCGACTGATGAAGCAGCGCCACGAGATAAAGAAGGTTTGATTCGGTCAGTTTTACAGGCCTGGAACACCATTACCGAAAATTATGACCTTGACCTAATTTCGGGTGTACCTGGACGTTTAGTTAAGTGTTTAGATTTAAATGGAGGTTTTATAAGTAAATAAGATAAATTATTTGTTGAAATTTTATATTTCAAGGTAGATAAATAAATACCGTAAATTTATAATTCTGCTTTCTTTTTTCCGGATAGTTTCTAGACGGACTATATTAAAATCAGTTAATTAGGTTCGCCTGGGGAATTTTTCTCATAAAAAGCTTGTAGATATATTAAAAAGCAAAAATATTGACAGTCGTGATCTGAAAATTATATCTAATTTATATTGGAATCAAACTGCCAAGGTAAGAGTTGACAGCCAGTACACCGAAAATATCAAAATACAGAGAGGAGTCCGCCAGGGTTGCGTGCTGTCCCCACTACTTTTCAATGTCTACAGTGAAGCGGTATTTCAAGAAGCGCTCTCAGACTCAATAGAAGGTATATCTATCAATGGAGAAGTTTTGAATAACTTACGTTTTGCAGACGATACAGTAATAATTACGGATAACAACAATTATTTACAGAACGTAATGCAACGCCTTAATGAACGCTGTCATGAGTACGGACTGTAGATAAATTTAAAGAAAACTAAATGCATGATCATGACTAAATCTGCACATGCAAATATCCAATTGACTATTGAAGATACTGCAATTGAGATTGTTAATAACTATAAATACTTAGGAACATGGATAATATCAGATGTAGACCAAACCAAAGAAATTAAGACAAATATTGAAATAGCACGTACATCATTTATTAAACTTAAAAAGTTTCTTTGTTGTCGGGATATAAGGTTAGAACTACGTCTGAGAATGCTTTGATGTTACGTGTTCTCTACTCTTCTTTATGGTTTGGAAGCTTGGACACTAAAACAAGTTCATCTGAATAAGTTGGCCGCCTTTGAATTTTGGTGTTACAGAAGAATCCTACGAATATCATGGATTCATAGAATGTCAAACATGGAAGTAACTAGAAGGATAGGAAATGAGGCGGAAATCATATTAACTATTAAAAGACGAAAACTTGAGTACTTGGGACATGTGATGAGAGGGCAAAAATACGCATTATTACAACTTATTATGCAGGGCAAAATCCGAGGAAAGCGAAATGTGGGAAGACGAAGAATATCCTGGCTTAAGAACTTAAGGGAATGGTTTGAATGTAGTAGTGCAGAACTTTTTAGAGCGGCAGTCAACAGAGTTTTTAGAAAACAAAGATATTGAGCTAGTTGACTCCTATAAATACTTAGGCCATGAGATCAGAATAAGTCGAGACAACCAAACAATCGAGCTGAAAAGAAGAATAAACCTCGCTTGGGCTGCATTTGGAAGGATGAAGGATATTTTTAGGTCTAAGATTCCAATGTGTCTGAAAAGAAAAGTATTTAATCAATGTATTTTGCCAGTGATGACCTACGGCGCAGAAACCCTAACGCTCACAAGAACAACAGTGAGTAAACTACAAGTTGCGGAAAGAGCAATGGAGAGAATTATGTAGAATTACGTGATAGAATACCCAATGCTACTATACGCAAAAGATCAGGAGTAGCAGACATTATTGAAAGGATTACAACACTAAAGTGGAACTGGGCAGGTCATGTAGCAAGATCAGTTGATGACCAGTGGACAAAAAGAATTTTGGAATGGAGACCCCGAATACAAGCATACAGAAATAGAGGTCGACCCCCAACGAGATGGACAGATGACATAAAAAGAGTGAGTACAAATTGGATTCAGATGGCGCAAAATCGGACTAAGTGGAAGAGCATGCGAGAGGCCTATGTTCAGCAGTGGACGTTAGAGGCTAGTTGATGATGATGATGATGAGTCAACAGAGTCCTCATAGCCATGATGATTTCCAACCTTCGATAGAAGATGGAACTTAAAGAAGAATAAGGGGAATTTTTAAAAATAGCTATAAACATGTTTAATTTTTCTTTCATTACGAAATCCTAATAATTTAATTTTTACTTTATTTTTAATAAATTCGAGATTTCTACCGTAAATAATTTAAACACCCACAAAAAAATATTAAATAATAATAAAAATATAATAATTTCACGCTATAATACGATAGGTAATGAGTTTTCTTATCTTCGCTCATTTTCAGCTTCCCACAAAAACTCGTGGACATTATTTCATTTAATCTTCGAGCAAATATTCATTTTAATGATCACACCATTGTACTTGAATCGTTGAAGATTAAACAACGATGATACAATCTACCTTGAGTCAGTAAAATGTTGACCTTTTAGATACTATTACTTCTTGTAGATGAGAACGTATAAGAAGTTTTTAGTAGGGGAGAGCGACGATGCAATTTGTTCTTTTTTACACCAAAGTCTATCTGGAAAAATCTTATACAAATTTTTTTTCGTATAATGTGACCAAGCCATCTAGCTCTTTGGTCTCGTATCTTTGCCGTAATTGCTGGTTTTCCATACGTCCTCTATTTCTTTATTCATTCGTCTTCTCCAAATATTCTCTGCCGTCTTTATTCCTCCGAATATGTTTCTGAGCACATTTCTTTCCCTGATCTCTACTTTCTTTTGTTCCTGCTGGTTCATAATCCACGTTTCACATCACTGTGGGTCTGATTACTGTCTCGTAATTTGATTCTTTGTGTAAAGTTTGTCCCCTTGTTATTCTTCTTTTCCGACTTCCGCATTCATGTCAGCAATTATTCTCTTTATATCGTATTTCTGTATATTCACTATTAGGGTGCTTAGCTTTTCGTAAAACTCTGGTTTGGTTTCTAAGTCTTTATCTTCAGTGGGCGCATGTACATTAATGATACTTATCTTCTTATACTTTCTTCTTACTCTCAAATAACATATTCTGTCTGATATTGGTTGAAAATTTACAACTGCTTTGTTTACTTTCTCGACACCATGAATCCCACTCCAAAATATCTCTTGGTTCCCCCACTCTTGAACCGTGTGTCCTTTCCTATTTTTATTATTTCATTTCCCAGTTGTTTCGTTTCTTGCAGGTCAAGGATATCTATTATATATTTTTCCATAATTTGTTCCAAGTTTCTTGAAGCTCCCTGCTCATAAGTACCTCTCACATTCAAAGTCACAATTTTTATTATATCCTTTGTAAGGTTTTTCGGTGAAATCGATAATTTTTTGATAATAATGAGAAATTTCGCGTCAGAAGCTACCGAGGCCCAAACATTGACAGTGACCACTTTCTTGTAATGGCAAAAATCAGAGGAAGAATATCAAACCTAAAGAAAGATAAACACACGAAACAAGACAGAATTAATGTTGATAATCTGCGCATTGAAACCGTTGCGAGAGAGTATAGGAGACAAATGGACGAGGAAATGGAGAGCCTGAAGGTGGGGGAAAATGTAGAGGAACTGTGGACAAAATGTAAAAACATAATAACTGAGAAAGCAACAAAAATATTGGGGAAAACCAAACCAGTTAAAGAAAACGAATGGTTTGACAAGGAGTGCCAAGAAGCAACAGATAACAAAAACAGGGCATACCTAAAGACAAATCAAGCTGGATGCACAAGAAGAGCAAAGGAAGAATACCGGACACTAAAAAGAGAAGAAAAAAGATTACATAGAAGAAAAAAAAGACAATTTGAGCAAAAGCAGTTGGAAAGCACAAAATGGCTAAGAAATCAAAATGAAACTCGAAAGTTCTACAGAAATCTAAACAGAATGCGCAAAGAGTTTAAGCCAAGAATAAGGAGCTGTAAGGATGTAGAAGGAAACATCCTAAATGATACAGCCTCAATCCTAAACAGATGGGTTGAATTTTTCGATGCAAAATTTAATGGCCATCATATCGAAGAAGCAGATAACACCCTAGCAAATCGAAATGATTGGAATCCTTTCAACCCAAACGAAAGACCACCTACCATCG